GCCCACTCCTGGAAGCAGGGGCTTTCTTTCTCCTTGGGGAGAGAGATGGTGGCTCCGCTTCTCCCCGGGACTGGGGGGCCTGGCGCTGGGATGGGGCGGAGGGTCCCGGGGCCGCGCGTCGGAAAAGGGGACGGGCCCCACCAGAGGTTTGCTTCCCGCAGTCAACAGCGCGGCCTCGGGGGCCTTGCGCCGCCCAGGCCCCCGGGGCCTCAGCTTCCAGGTGCTAGGCAGCCGAAGCCTGGCAACCAGATCCGGGGAGCCCCGCTGAGGCGAGGAGGCCGGGCTGGGCTCTGGGCCAGAGGAACCTCGGCCTCAGCCCCTAGCTGCGCCCACATTCCTCTCTTGGCCGCAGCCTTGCAACCGAGATCAAGCCCAACCCCGTCCTGGGGCGTCTGGCCACCGCCTCCACCCTAGAAGAGGCCACACTCCAGGCAGGCAGCTGATATTTTTATTGGCGCTATTTTCAGTCCTCTGGGAAGCGGGTCGGGCTCACCAGTTACCCTTTCTCCCAGTCTGACTCTGGGGAAAGGCACGAGATAAGGGGCAACCTTCAGCCGGGATCCTCTCTAAAGTGGACTCCTAGTGACTCCTGCATTCTCCCTGGGGAAGGGAGGCAAGCAGAGGCAGTGCAAACCCCTGGCTCGGGATAAATGGGTGGGTGGGGGTGTGTGTGGCAGCACTCCCTGGGACCTCCCTGCCCCAGGCAATGCAGAAGCTCGGCAGGCCTAATGGCCAGTCCTGGCAGGCCCTGGCTTGCCTTGCTCCAAAGCATGGAGCGGGTCTCCCTGAGGGCACCAGGAGCTTATTTTCTGGCTGAGCTGGGGGAAAGGTCAGGGTCTGGGTGGAGCTACAGCTGCCTTCAGCCTTTTTTTGGTCAAGGCTCTGGAGACCACCCTGCTTCTAAAGGCTTCCAACTCTAGCCCGGCTGGATCCTCGGGACGCTGACTTAAGAAGGGGTGGGAAGGGAAAAGATGTGTTGGAGAAACAGAGTGGGTTGGTTTCCACATCCAGGGCCAAAAGCAGAGCAGGGGTTTTACTGGCTGTTATACCCCACTGATGACACAATCCAGGGGGCTGGTGGGGATAGTTATGCCTCAGGCATCTGCACTTTTCAGAACGTTCAGAGGAGAAGCATTTATCAGGGTGGTCCAGAGTAGTGTGCAGGTGCCTCAGGGTGGGACTGGCTCATCTGTGACCGCTGAAGGGTACAAAAGAGAAACCTCTGCAGCCTCCCAGGGGCAGTACCTCCAGCAATCACCACCCACCCACCCACCTTCACTCCCACTGGGCCCGGGATTCTGGACACTGCCAGGCAGACAGACATAGAGGTTCCAACTCAACTGGACTCAGGGAGTAGGAAGAGGGAGGAAGAATGCAACTGGGTGCGGTTGCTCATGCCTGTAATTCCAGCACTTTGGGAGACTGAGGCGAAAGGACTGCCTGTGTCCAGGGGTTTGAGACCTGCCTGGGCAACTTGGAGAGACCTCATCTCTATAATAAATCAAAAAATTAGCCAGGCATGATGCTGTGGTTCCAGCGACCTGGAAGACTGAGACAGTAGGATCACCTGAGCCCAGCAGGTTGAGGCTGTGGTGACCATGAATGTGCCACTGCACTCCAGCCTGGGCAACAAAATGAAACTCTTACTCAAAAAAAAAAAAGAATGCATGTGAGCCCCAGGAAGCCACGGAGGCAGCCCTTCAGTGAGGCCCAAGAAGCACCTGCCCTTGCCCACCCCAGACAGAAAACCCAGGGTTTCACCCTGAACCTTCTGCTTTCTTTTATCTGGGGCTAAAAATGCTTTTGTGATTTTGGCTGTGAACACTAGGGAAGGGAGTATGGACAGGGGCCAGCTGGGTTACCCGTTGTGTAGTGACATGGGAAAAGTTAGAACTCACGACGAACAGCGAGGAGAGTGTTTCCATGGCAACAGGACACAGAAGTCACGGTGTAAGGGTGCATCTCATCCAGCTGCACTGGCCGAGGGAATCCAGCATCCTCATCCTTCCTTCCTAGCCGACCTCGGGCCCCTTTGCCCCAAGAGTACACTTCGCCCTCTGCCAGAGAGAATCCCAAGGAGGGAGGTGGGCGGGGGGTGCAGCCTAAGCAAGCAGCTATACTCCCAAACTGTCAGAAGGGCCCCCCAGCAGGGGGATGCTGAGTCCAGCGGCCCTAAGCATAATAACCTCCCACTGCCCATGGGCCTGCCTATGCCTCTGTCTGCCCCCACCGTGCCCACTCCTCACCTGCCCCAATAGCTACGGTGAAGGCATCCCCACAAGCCACCATTGCCATCTTGATGCCCTCGAGGCCTTGGACCTGGCAGGGTGCCCGGCTGCCCCGGCGAGCATTGGTGCCCAACTGCCCATGCTGATTACTGCCAAAAGTATAGCAGTCACCTGAGGCTGTGGGGGAGGGAAGAGGAGAGAAGAAAAGGGGCAACCTAAAGGAGGTAACAAGGAGGCCGGCCACCTGAGCCTCCCTCTGGCCTCCTGAGCCCAAGTCCCACTCACCAGTCACAGCAGCTGAGTGAGCAGTGCCCAGGTCCACACACAGAAGGGGCTGCTGGTCCAGGGGTGCAGAGTCTAGTGGTGTGAAGTTCAGGGCCTCCTCCACTTGCTGGTGGGGGCCAGGCTCCTCCCCCAGGGAGAGGTGGTCCAGACCCAGCTTGTTGAACCTGAGGCAGAGTCAGGAACCACATTCAGCCGACAGTTTGTTTAGACTGCCCTGCCCCCACCTATTTGGGCAGGAGTTAGTGCACCAGGAGACAGATTCCACCCTGGGTTGAACAAAGCAGCACTCTCAGCCCCCTCAGGTCTGTCTTTGGTGGGAAGTAGGCAATGCCGACCTAGGGCGGAGCTCCAGCAGCCAAGGAAGGCAAGGAGGCAGGCTAGTCATCCTGAGGCACCTATTCACCTGTTGCTTCCACAGGCCAGGGCTCGGCCGGGCACAGTGAGGATCATGGAGCAGTCGATGCCACATACAACCCGCTGGGCTTCTTGTCCTGGGGGCATGGGCACCTGCTGGGGGCAGCTGTGGGACTCCCTGGTGCCTAGTCCTAGCCTGCCTGCAAACAAAAGCAGGGATGGGGTTAGTTTGAGCTTTAGGGCTGGTTATGCCAGCATGTGGAGGCCCCACTGAGAGGAAGGAACAGCCTGTGTAAAGGCCGTCCTCAGTCTGAAAGCTTTTCCTAGGCTCCTCTGATGGTCAAAATCATCCTTCTCCTTTCCTTCCCTTCCTTCCCTCCCTTCCTTCCTTCCCTCCCTTCCTTCCTCCCTCCCTCCCTCCCTC